GGAGCTTTAAGCTCATGAAATTACCCTTTTGACTACTAACGGTTGATCAGAAGTTTAATCGGCTGGCACATTAATTTGAAAGCCCTTGCTCATGACGAATTTCGGAGATGGCTATATTTGAGTTCTTTGCCAAAATGAGGTACTCTCGGGGTCCAACCACACGTAGGAGGGTGAATACAATCATAATATCTTTTTGCATCCACGCTAGGTATACGCTAAAGAGCAGGATAGGCGGACCCTGGGTTAAATCTCTTCGACTTTCTAACCCAGAAGTTATTGCGCACTAATTATTACGATAATCGAAAAAGCGCGCGGAACGAGAAGTATGTCCCAGAGGTGCGCTCTGTGTCAAAACACATCGGGCAAAGGATGGGCCAACTTGGTGGACAATTAAAGGCAGATAACTCGCTCAGGGTAGCTTCTGGAACTAAGACAGTGATAACCAACCTCAATCGTGCAACACTTGGTGGACACGGCGTAGAGTGGGGTGCCAAGGTTTCTGTATCGTTCACAAGGCAATCCGTAATCAACCTAGGTTGGCATAGCACCATACAGCCGCAGCGGCATACCGGTTTCGCTACTGGGAGGGGTCTGGACACTCTGTCGCTAGTTGGGTCTTCTGAATCGGCAGCCTTCCTGAGGTGATTTAGGCGGGTTCGACGGTTCCAAGTATATGTCGAAAAGACAGGTTATTTTCAAGAATCTGACGTTTTCGACAGATCAGAACGTTGACGAGAAACTTGCTGGTGGAAGAAGCGTACGCCGCTGCTCTTGGTACCATTGAGTGTTACCCCATCTCGGATTTCAAATGTGGGAGAGAGGATGTAAATGCCTTGCTTCGAGTGACTGGATTTCCTTCTAACAGGATCTGTGCTAGTTTCTTTTTCACCGTATTTGCTTAAACCGACTTTGGCGATGGTCGTGCGCGCATTAGGGCGTGATGGAACCTTTGATCCGCATTTTATCAACTCCTCCTCTTAAAGCAGATGGATAGACGCGTGCCCTTGGAAGGAGTGACGTCGATCCGAGTGACAAAATTGAAACAATTACTTTGGTTCTGTAAGTAGTAGATTGGCACCACGTAGTTGGCCAGGTGTGGAATTTGGCGGTACACAACCGAAAATAGTAATATGAAACAACTTAGTGACCATTTTGACGTCACGTTAATTTAACTGATCCGGTAACAAGTTTTACGCAATTGCTTATCGGAGCAATTTTTATGGGGCATAAATATCCGAAGGAGCAATTTCTCCTCTTTCTACGGCCTCGTTCATAAACAACTGGGCAATGTAGCGAAGCCGCTCAAGTTCCCACTAGCTACTGAGTCCCTGCTTTACGAGAAAGAACAATATTTTATGGCTGTTTCTGCCATGGTAGGAGGAGCACATTAGCCCGTTTTTCGTGCCGACTGGTCAGTCCGCTAGTTCCGTCTTAAACAGTTTCACACATTTCCAAAATCTTATCGGTTTTTTCTCAGACAATTTCGGTAACATCATAATTCCTTGGGCAATGAGTACGATAAGTTTTACACACGTAGCAGTTTGGTTCTCAACCGTGCGACAAAGTCGTGTTTGATCGACAGCAGATATGGAAAGTTTGGTTTGACCGTTGAAATGTTTTGCAATAAACAATAAGATACTTTGCTGACACCATAACAGGCTCCGATACAAGTTGCTTCTTCACTGTCAGAAGGATGACGACGATAAAATTCCCAGCTCCTTAAAAATCTGATTCAGTCTTCTTGTCGGCAGGTTTTTCCTTTCATTCACAAACTGCTGAACCCTTTGAATGAGCTTTTATGCGGGGCTTCTGTTATCGAAACAGTGGACCGACATCTCCACTGGACTTGGAAAGATAATGAAGTTAGAGCAAAAGAGCCGGGGGACATGTTTGGTGAAAATTCCGGGAAACTTCTTTAACAGAACAACGAGTTCAGGGTTTTGACGAACAATAGACTACATGGTGTTTCGTTTTTCCACTTTATTAAACTCAGAATTCGGCCGTAAATCAACGTCCATCACTTGCATAATACTCGTTTGGCGTTAACTGTATAACGCATAAGAAAGCCCACTCAGAATCAGACGGAATGCTTAGAAAATCCAGAGGTTCAGATGAAAGCTTATGAACGAGTGCGGTGGTAAACATGCGATAATAAGAATGGCATGGTGGTGTATACCTCCGTTCTCTGGGCACACAAGTGATGCTGAGTCCAAATGAGTCATGCCTGAATGAGGGATGTCAAGTCTCATTGAGATGATAACGGTCATCAAGGTGCGCGTTGGGTGAACATATATTATGTGAAATAAGTTTTGCCGAAATCGTAATCACAAGGATGTGAATGTCCCAGATTACATCAACGGTGGGAAAAATATCTAAGCAGGCATTTGAACCGGAGTGCCTTTGTTCCAGTAGTTACGCTAGGATAGCGTAAGTCCGTGTGCACACATGTGAGAAGTAAGCAATGCAGCATCACGACGAGGAAAGGACGGATGATACAACAGAAAAACTGTCATTCCAAACACCTCAATGATCAACTTCAAAGGTAGCAGGACGCACAAAATGAAAAGGCCTCATCAGACAACATTCAAGTCAATACGCGTGGGCACTTAAAAAGCTGAAGTATCTCGTCAACCGAATGTGAAAACAAATCCAATACTTCTTAATCTGGCATGTCGAAAGAAATTTGTTCTTTCTAAAGGATGTTCTGGTTTTTATGAAAGATAGTTGTGTACAGTGGACCTCGCGACCAATGTCGATATGGGCAGGTGTTGTCCCAATGCCCTCTGACACCCTATTGTTGCCGAGATTATTTGAATAGAGAATGTTTTATCGCACAATATAGAGTCACGGCTTTCCATCTTAGGCCCGCAGGTTGTCATCTCATTCGCCTGCTCTGGAGCTAAAAGGAACTACCCTCCATACTTCTCTCCACGAAAATTCGTTCCACTGACAAAGGTTGAATGTGTATTTTTAGGAATGCGGAGAGACGTTTTGGAAATCGTTTACCTAAACAGACGCGGGACGTACAAATTACATAAGATACTCGAAACCACTTGATTTGAGCAAAACTTTCTTTCTTGCACACCCATTTACTTGTTCGAGGCGTATGCCCTAAGCGATCTGGAGGTTAGTTTCCCAGTTCATCTGTCTGGCATCATAAATCCAAGTCCTGTCGAACACTCTTGCTCCTCTCGTAAACTGCTGATATGGCACGCTAATACAATAGCAAAGTCGTGCTAAATATTCGTCCTGGCTGGCGTGTCCGACTGTCATGTAATCAGGTACTTAAACCGGTAACTCAACGGTAACCCAATGATAACACAGCACACGTCGCGCGGATAATGTGTGGTGTAGTCAGAATGAATGGTGTAGTTAGAATGATTGAATATAAACAATATCATTTTCACACAAGTGAGCGGATATGGTGAAAGACGCATCGACGAAACGGAGGCAGAAAGCCTTGCAATACTGTGCTGACAACCACATACATACTCTAGGATACACATTTAAAAGTTCAGTTGATTCTGCTTAGGGACCCAACGTTGTACCCGGACTGCTGTACTCATTTTTGCCGATTAATAATTGCTTTATTGTGATGGTTTTGAAAGTCCTCTTTGGGCGTGAATTAACCGTGGTTCCGCGAACCCATTGTGGTGTTTACCACCTTCACGTTTGATCCAAAGGATCCTACTCTGAGTGGAGTTGATGCGCAGTGACACAGAGTATGAGAACTCCTCACGGTTTTGGGTTGCAAGTTACTAGCATTAATACTGATCAAAATCGTTTATTCGAGCATTTCAGTCCTGGGGTCTTATGCGCTACACAACACGAACTGTCTAAATAAGGACCCAGCAGTGCGCGTTGACGCTGTATCAGCTTTGTCATCGATTGCGACCGTACAGTCGGCGAAGGACATAACACAAACAATGCCCAAGAGTTCCCGCTAGCGTTCCTTTATCTGTTTTATCATCGTTGAGTTTTGCAGTTGGCTTCACCACGGGTGGGTACCCTCGAGCAATCCCACTCGTCAGTGTCACGATAAACGGGCAGTTGAATGAAAAAGATTTGCCATACACATCATGTCCCATAGTGATAGCAATTTAGCTAGAGTAGACGTACGCGGAGCCTGTACGACAAAAGCTGTGCTGGATTTTTCTAGGCGGTTTCGATTCAGCCTACAGCATCTAAGTTCTGTTGAGTCCGGTTTTTTTGTACTTTTGTGCTTTTCTCCAATACTGGAAGGAGAACTACGGACAAGAGCGTTGGCTCTTCAGTTTCCGCTCTCGAGACACTCCACTGTTTGAGGGAAGTGTTCTGGATAACTTTGGACATCACAGCCGCATACTGACTTAACCTACAGATGGGCTAGTCTCCTTTACAGGGCAGCAGTGTTTAGCTGGACTACAACGATGTGACGTTAAAGCTTCGAGTGATCACACAGAGCAAACCGGATGGTCAGGCTTACAGTATGCTAGCGCCACTTGCCGGATGAGCAAGCAACAGAACACAAACGACCATTGACTTGTTGGCGAATGGATTGAAATAAACCTAAGCTGAACGTCTGAGGTACGAAATGGATTTTCCGAGGGATCTTTAGAAAGCAAGAGTCAAATTTGGTGGCCGGACACAACTGACTAACTGAAACCGCTATCCAGCAGTTCACATGACTAACCCCTTCTTCGTCCAAATGAAACGCTACAAAAGGGTGATAAAGTCCCAATTGCCTGTTTGTGGAACCCGATTACATTCTCGCATGAAGATTCTTACACGCGCTAACAAGGAAGAGTGACGTTGCTTACAAGTATCTGCACATACTGATCAAATCAACTGGACGCGTCGATAGAGAAACGCTACCAAACAGCACCTGCTAGACCCCGACATTGGGGATTCGAAGTTGGAAACAATCTCAAGAGGTCGCTTCCAAGTCTTGGATAACAAAAAGTGATTCACATCCTGTTGTGCAGTGAGAACATCCCGGGTTAATCAATTAAGCTTCTGTGAAAGAACTCACTTTTCCCACAGCCAGCCTGGAGAATGTAATTAACAGATAGCGAATGCAACAGAAGAGAAGACACATAATAGTATGTGAGAGCCAGACAAAATACTTTGAAAGTCGGAAACGGATTCAACTTTGCTCTCATACAAATCGTTTTAGAGATGTTCCAATGCAGAGAAAACATCAACAGAGCAAAACAACGCATCGTGATAAGAGAGAATGGTACGAACTACGGGAAGTGGAGGACATAGCACGGTGGCGACTGCAAACGCTGAACAGAGCTTCCGCTTAGTCTCTATAAATGGAAATAGTCACCAACGTGGGAAACAGAATCGCGAATTGAGAGGAAGGTACGGGCTCACGTACAAAACGGAACATGGACAGAGAGAGCTAAGTTATTCAGGCGATGGGAGACAGGGTAGCCCGCATGGATCAGCGGGCCTATGCACTGTCACCCATTAGTCAATCGGGATGTGTATAAAGCAGCCAATTGACAATTTCAAATAATTAAATGAATAGAAAAGAACACCAGAAAACCGTCTGAAAAAAGAAACGGTGAAAATATGAGAAAAAGCATGCCTTTAGGAATTAAAGAATAATCTGATTCTTTGAACTGTGCGCCAGCTCCTTGTGTGGCAGAACAATGCAATTCAAAACGATTATTTCCGCCGGAACTTCAACATTTGAACCTAAAGCGAGAAGAGGAGAGGAGTCAGTAAGGAAATATATGAATACTCTTTGGGCACAAATCCAAGTGCATAGATAAGCGGAATTAGAGCACACAACGACTGGAAATTGCATAAAAACAAGTTAGCCAACAGGCACGAACGAGCAGTTTGATCGCCACAAATATAACTTAGTGTGTCATGTGACCGCATATGTGCTACATGATCCGAACGCTGACGGGAACCACTAGACCAAACGAATACAGCCATCTAGAAGCTCAACAGATCAACTCAATTGTGGAGTTTATGCCGGATTTCCCTTGTGGTACATCAACCCGGACACAAGTGATATAAACTACCATAAAAAGCTTACAGTTGATGAAAGGACAGTTCACCATGCCATTCTACAAGGAGAACTAGTTAGGCGGCTTACTATTTTTTACCAGGGAAAAACAACTTCCTGGATGTTGACATTTCAACAAGCTTTTATCCCTTGAAGACATAAGACGTTCTAGAGACATTGTGACGAGGATCTAGCACGGAACGTCAAATTAGGAGAAAAGTTCCATGGCATGGATCGATATTTTGGTGAGCACATTTATCGTTCTCTAATTAGTACTGCCTAACAAAAAGCTAACAACCACAGGCTTCGGTTGCACAGCAGGATTTAGGGGGTTTGACACAGGTCAACCAATAGCCCTGTTTCACAGTTTTTTTGTATTGACTTGTTGCCCGCAGCCTCGTGGTCCGTCGCAACGTTTGGGTAACTAATCGGACATCCGCTGACAACGACACGAGTCCGTTTTGCATACGAATGTTCGATTGTAGCTGTGAGATAATCGATAAATGGCATGTAAGGTAGAGTGGTCGGATATGCTGTCCAATACTGTTTGAACCGTGAAATCTCTGGTTACAAAAATCAAGCGTGTGCAGTTTTGGACGGATTTGCGTTTTTACCCTGTGTGGTTAGAAACCTGGTCACCCTTAAACGAAAAGCACAGTGACACCTCCCTCTTTGGAATATTGCTGATCACGTCAGGTGGCCTGATTCATTTACTATGAAGGGTAATAAACCAGCCTGGGTGGGTATTAGCTATTTGTGCCTCTTTCAAGCAGGTTTCTACAGCTGCCTGGTTCGCAGCGAACATGTTTCTCGCTCTGCAAAAATGTCACCTATGAGCAACGTGCAAGAAATCATCAAGGTACATATGTGGGTAACTTCGTGTAGATTCATGGTATGCCGTTTCCCGTGAGGCCCTATTCGGACGGCGAGTCACGAAGACAGCTAGGAAGATCGAACTGACAGGGTTGCTATACTAACCCCATTATTCACAAACCTTGATGAGATTCTTCTTGTAAATTTTGGGTAGTAACTGTGATAATATCTTCAGAAAGAGAGTGTACATATCTTTACAGATAGCATATATAATGGCTTTCCTTATGAGCGTACTGTTGGGTCAGCTTCTTATATCATGAGGAACATTCCCCGCAACCTGTCAATATCTCATGAGGTTGAATTAGCCCCTTCCGGAAGAAATTAATGACGAGAAGATTTGGAACTCCTGTGTGGGATTAGAGGAATCCGCAGCCAATCATACGCAAAAACTACCAAAAAGAAAGCGACAGGCTTCTTGAAAAGACAAAATCTATTAGGGAGACGAGAAGTAGGATTTCAGTAGAAAAATCCTTTGGCTGTGATATCCACTCCGAGATCACCGCCTACATAGAGCCTTTGGAGAGCGCTAGAACTGAAATGCCACCAGGTTCCTCAGTAGTAGCCGAAAAGTCATTGGTGAACTAGGACGATCAAGCCTCTAGTCTTGAGCACAAGTCAAACTAAGCCCTATCCCATTATGTTCTGATCGCGCTCGTACTGCCCCATTCTGAAATTATGTGAAAAAGCACCATTTAAGACTCGCATGTTCAGTACCATCCACGAGTGAAACAAATGAACGAACGCGAACACTTTCAGACATCAAACCAAAGTCGAAGTCAGACAGACTGAAACCATCAGGACCGTGAGACTGTAACCCATATATAATAATAATAATCGTTCAGCTGTAGCACCCTTTCGGCGTCTAACTGTCACGCCACCCGAAAGTTCCACAAGGGATAGGATACTAGTAGAATGCCCAAGCCTAGACAGGGGAAGTCGAGAGGCAGAGGTCGGGTTCGAATCACGGAGCTTCCGGCCNGCCGATAAATCGCGCTCCAACCAACTTGGGCCACTCACTCCCGTATGTATGTAAACAGCTAAGTGAAACATTTAATTGACAAATTGCTCATCAGAAATTTAATCGCGCGTTTTCAGGTGCTTGATGTGAAGTGTCCATCAGATGACGATGATATTAAGAGAGGGGGGTTAATAACTCTGTCACACGTTGCGAATTTAAATATATCCTAGAATTCGGGAGATGTGCAACCCTCATCATTAAGAAAAAGGGATCGCAAACCTTTTCAATAGTTCTCAGATTTTTTGCATTGAAAATATGTTGACTTACTTGCTCGTACCAGCAGTAAATAACACGAGGGAGCGAAAACTCTAACGTCTGAATTTGACTCTTCCTACCCGACTTAACTCGCTGACAGGCTGGACAGCGGCAAGAAAACGTCACCAAAAACGGTCCAGCATCATATTGTGTAAGCGGAGTGGCAAGGATATGTTTACCAGCCAATTAGCGTATCGAATAAGGTCCCCCAGGGAATTAAAGTGATTTACGAAAATGTGTGTTCCCATACAGTACAGATAGTCCTAGTTTTCAAACCCCAGGGCGCACATAAACTAAATCAGCATATTGAGTTGCGTGTACTGGGGGGACTGTTCGCTTCTAAGTGAAAAGGTGAGCAGACAAGAACCGTGGGAATCTGCCCAATTCTAATGATGTCCTTTCATTGAGGGTACCGCTGTATAACCACAACAGGACCAAATAAAATAAGTACGGTGGCTGACTTACTATTTGATGGTTTATGGATAGATGATAACATGGTCATCCAGACATGTGGCTTAACCCGTACAAACATGGACCATACGCCAGGAAAATGGAACCATAAGGTAGAATCACATGTCAATAGCGCGTAACGGCACCTTCCAGATCGCAAGTTATCAGCTGGTACGTCACGCTACGAAACACTCTATCGACCCTATGCGTAGAGTTTTTTCGAACATAAACAACTAGCTATGTAAAATGAAGCAAAAAGTTGACAGCTGATAACGTAACGAAGGATGGCTGTCAGACTAGCTAAACAGGACAAAAATAAGTGACAAAATGGCACACTTCCTTACCTATAACTGTGATGGACGGATTTAACTGACCCTTAGCATTGAACACGGGTAGTACATCTAACTTAGTAAACGGTTTGTTGGGGTTCGGATCATTCGGTGTTCCCTCCACACGAGCCCATTTGCCAATTATTGTGTTCCATCCGATCACGGCATTCAAACAGCACGCATGTTCACGTATCTCCGCATCACGAAGAACGATGCAGTCACGTAAGCGGACACCACCTCGAATCACAGCACGTTCTCCCACGCTCACATTCGGACCAAGCTGTGGAAAAAGGAAGCTGAGTGGTGTATCGGGAAGCTACTAGAGGTGAGTGAACATAACAGTTCTAAATAGATGAGGATATTCAGGGGCGAACCTACAGTGCTCAAACAATCGTGTCATTTCTGAAAGAATCTGATGCTAGAAGAGGCACGGTCAATCGCACAAACTGGACAGTGAGCTACTGTTCAATACGAATTCAAGAATATCTTGCAAGACGGGTTTGTCATTAAATATCACACTCCACGGACGAAATGTATCTTAGACCTTAGCGACTACGCGAATTCACCAACGGTGTATGAGGGAGCACTCGAAGAGGAGAAAAAAAGAAAAGTCATTGGAATCCTGGTCGAGTGTAAATGGGTTGACTTAGCCTGAACCGATTATGATAATGCATTCAAAAGCTCTGAGAAGGAGCTTATCCAAACCATTCTGTCACTCTGTGCTGCAATGGTTCTGTGGGCTATACTGGTTGGAACTCAGTTCCAAAGGGTTCAACCACGCCAGAAAGGCCGACGGGAAGCCGCCCGACGAAGAACAGCGAGCTGTCACTCTTGCAATGGTTCTGTGGGCTATACTGGTTGGAACTCAGTTCCAAAGGGTTCAACCACGCCAGAAAGGCCGACGGGAAGCCGCCCGACGAAGAACAGCGAGCCCCCCTTAGTGCGAGCAATAGTATTACGAGGCGGTAAAGTTGTACTGTCCTCTGCGATAAGAGTGTGAAGGCAGTAAGGCGCTTCTCCCAGGCGACCAACACGTCCATAGTTATGGAAGCAGTGATGCTGTCTTTCCGCGAGGGAGAACGGATTAGAAAAGGTCGGCCCTGAAAACCGCGCACTCCGATCACCCAAAGACAACTATTCAACACGGTCGAAATACTTTTAAAACCAAAGACCCCGGTGCTGCTCAAAAGGTATCTGCTGTGCGCAGCTGTAGTAGGAGACAGTAATGATCTTCCATCACCGGCCCTCTCCTATACTTTCTCCGCACCCATCGAGCAATGCAGTGCCACCAACCCATCTGCCAGTCCCCAAGGCATTGCCGCGTCTCTAAACCGTCGCCCGGAAAAATAAACAAAAATAGTCACTCGCTAACCTCAAAAGATCTGATCCACATTGCAGCCTTTAATGTCTGTACTCTATGTTAAGTTGGAAAGCAGGTATATCCTGTCGAAACCTTACTTAACTTTCGTAATCTATGTATGCTGTGTCTCCGAAACACGCATTCAGGACCCCACTTGGATCGTGCACCTCAGGCCGCTTACGACGAGCTCGGACGTTCCACATTTCACTCTTCGAGTATCCGGTGATACTGACACAACGGCTCGCGGCATCTACGGTGGATTGGGTCCCAGTATACAGTTGTCTTTAAATATCTGTCACCCCTGTCTCGGTCAGGAACTACCAAGAGTGATGACGCACGCAGATCCCTCAAGTACCGGATTATCAAGAGCTTGAAGAATTACAGGGAACACTGGTGGGCTTCGGAGGCCCCGAAGATGGAGAAGGCTTTCGCTGCAGGCAACAGTCGCGCCCTACCTTATCAGATTCGATCAGCCGGTCAAAAGAAGACAAGTGTCAAGGGGACGATAGGCGAATAAGACGTAACGGTAATTCACTCCCTCAACCATTGTCTTGGGCGATGGGATGAGCACCTCAAGAGTTCAGTTGGTCTACACACGACCGCTGGAAATATCCAGTGCGTCTGAATGGAACGTAAACACCGGCCCTGTGATGAGTGGAAGCGACCGAGAGGTGGACAGTGTATGACCTGGCAACGAAGTATGAAAACACTAACTAGTAAGGCGAGTCGTGTCGACAATCGCGGCCTCTCTGAATGGGGACCCAACTTACCAATGGTTAATGACACCGGCAGAAATAGCCCAATCGCTTAGTTAGTGGCACTCGTGCATCAAAGCTATTGCCTTCAATGCGTATCTACCTACCTCCAAAACTAACTAAACATGCCTTCAATAATAGGTTGTATCTCCCACACTCTCCACTTTTCGGTGATCGAAACTTTAGCAGCTGAAACCAATGTGCCCAATGATACACGGTAAATTGAATTTGCTGATTGAGAGGAAACTTACTACGGCAGTTTTGTCAACCTGCGCTGTTGGGTGGATGAAAACGTGACTCTACCCTGTTCCAAAACTAACTAAACATGCCTTCAATAATAGGTTGTATCTCCCACACTCTCCACTTTTCGGTGATCGAAACTTTAGCAGCTGAAACCAATGTGCCCAATGATACACGGTAAATTGAATTTGCTGATTGAGAGGAAACTTACTACGGCAGTTTTGTCAACCTGCGCTGTTGGGTGGATGAAAACGTGACCAATAATAATGGGTCCTCTGATTTCGCCTGAGGAGTCTCCATTCATGGTAATCGATTGGGAACTATCAGTAGTTAGAAACTGTAACCCTGTTGAGCTGGGTAGGGACATGCGAGCTAGACGGTGAGGATGTGTGCGTTCGTACAGCGACAGGACATGGCGATTTGCATAGATGACAGCACTAAGGATAGCAGGGACACGAAAACAACAAAAACAGGTGGATGTCAGCAAAAAAGTTTTGCAGTTGTTCATCAAGGAGACAATTAATCTCGTCGATTTATAGTGATAGAAGTCATGCAAATCACGCTGACTTCAAAGAATCATCTGAAATCAACGGCAACTAGCAGGCGGTGAACAGTCGAGGAATAAGCCACGACATCCAACACTATTTAGCAAACCATATGTGCAAAAACTGAGTGGACATTTTGTGGGCGAATATTCACGCCCCACCAGACTTTACTATTCCAGTAACATAATAGTGCGAAAGAAACGGACGAACGTCAGTCGTGAGTTGCTTTGTTTCTCCTGTCATCGGTTAGAAAGTCGAAAACATGCCGTGTTCATTCCGCTGTTGAAACAGTAGATGTGAGCGAGATATTATCAAAACACAACAGTAGGAAGCGTATGATCACCGCTCTGGCAAGAAACGCTCAAAACTTCACGTCACTGTGAAATTTAAGCTTGTGTTCCTACATGTCCGTGCTGTTTACAGTAGGCTATTGATAGTGATTGGTTACACACGAATCTTGTTGACAGAGTATCCGAACGTCCGTCTTATGAAGCGAAGCCTGAAGAGCGTATTTAGAAAAGGCGAAGAATTATGACTAGGATCAGACCTTAAAAAATGGTTCTGAGGAAGTCCACCAGCCTCTGAAGGTTGCTACATCCTACAGGGAATCCAGACTACCGTAAGCAACGTCAGTAATGTCCAACTGCTCTCCTGGGTCCTGTCCAATTTCCTGCTGTTACAAATGCATAAGGCATTCTGTCAAAAGCGATGTGTTATAACCCAACTTACTGGGGTTAAGCAGTCCGCACACAGGCGGTAAGTTGGCAAACTCACCCAGCAAACTTGATCTGACTCCAAAATCGAGTCGTGTGATACACGAAAAGAGTCCCTGTACCAGCCAGTGGCTGACAAATCTCACGTTCCAAGTGGATAATTTCTTTGCATTGTGGGCGCAGTTCGTAACTGTGGAAAACAGTGCTAATACTGTCAGTCAAAATGACCAAAAGCAGAATAAACTTGCGTTTCAAAATAGGACAAATAGCTACCAAACATTGTAATTCAGTCACTGATCTTGGGAGCACCTAACCAGACTCAAAATTATTTACGATATTAGACAGGTACAAACACAGCCCGTCAGCACATGAAAGTGGAACCAATTTCTTATCACGCGCCTTGCTTCATCTCTTCAGTGAATGCCTGTTTGGAGCTTCTCAGGCCAATCGACATAATCTCAATACGGCCTGCTTTGTACCACAATAAGTCTCTGTAATGCAGACTACTGTTCGGTGATAACGTACCCCGAGTTGTCGGAATGTACTCAGAAATACAGACCTCACATAAACCTCAGAGGACTGCACTGATACAGCTGTCACCAAGTTAGGTTCAACTGCCTTCAAAGTTGGTAAAGTCCGTCCAAGAATCCGGTGAGAGCAGCGTGCAGTTGTCACACGTGTCCGGCAAGTACGAAACACAATACGAGTACGCTGCTCCACCAACCACGCCTGCCTACAGTTGAATAACGTGGACAGACTGTGCGGGGTCCACAACAATCCTGGTTGAAGCAATCAAGTGAGGGATATAAAAAACTCGTTTTGATGTATCAGACAGATCGGTATCTAGTTAGACCAAGTTGGAGTAAAACTGATTCAAAGGGGAATCAAATAACTGAGCGATGCTACCAACCTTCATATACAAATGAGCGCTGAGCGACCGATGTGCACTTCTGGGGAAAAACCTAGCCGGATATAGAGTTCCAGAGCATAGGTACTTGATTCAAAAAAGGCACACCAGTGCATTCTGGCACAAATTGCGTGTTCTTACTTCCTTTGTGGACTGCTTAATAGAGCGTTTGCACACCACGCTCACGCTAATTTTAGCTTCAAGGTTATGAAAGAAGCGCTTGATAGCAAAAATGAGGATATTTTCCTATTCCCAAAGGGAAAGGCATGAACGTATAACCCGGCATAGAAAAAATCAACCTATCGGAAGCTGACTTCAGTCGGATACAGTAACTAATCCCAAGAGAGGAAGGATTGCACTAATTGAATTCAGTCCTCCACCTACAAACCATGCACCCAATTACAGTGGTTCTTCCGCCTCCATTTTCATTCACCCTAGATAACGGAATCAGAGCCAAGCCATAGAGGCGATGGCCCACTCAATTCATTGACTCTAAATGGCCAGGTTTATCCGATATTGCAGAGTGAAGAAGCTCCTCATTAAAAGCGATGTCTCTGATGTAGGAGCGTATTGGTTGCGCAATACCTGTCAGAGACACCGAGAATCGGTTTGCTTCGTCCCGCGGTCCCCATTTGAGGAAGCGGCAGTTATCAACGCGAAACACTTGACCAGTAAGAGCTTTCATGCTTCGTTGCCAAGTTATCGATTGACTAACATTTTGCCGCCTTCACCCAAATGGCTGGCGAAGATGGCTCTGCGGGGTCAAACGACCCCATGGTCTGCGAACTACATGGCCCAATGAGTGTAACCTGTGGTCTGAGCAGCAGACCTGTCGAGACACACAGGAATTTCCCGGAAACCAGCTGGACTACCTCAGCCTTACTGATCCCATGTTCAAACCAGACCCGCATAATGCTTCGGAGCCATCGATGGTCAAACAGCTTGCTCAAATGTCTGAACACAGTGGCCGATCCTCTAACAAATGTACCTTACATTACCATTGACAGTCCGCTGATGCTGGTAAATGCTGTTTCGGCCCTCATAATTCAGGAAGTGATTTCTTCTTCGACCAGTCCACCAGGACCTGTGCAGCTTCCCGGAGAAATGAACTTATCTCAACATCGATCGGTTCATCTGCAAGCATGAGGTTAGGGTTCGATCCCATCCAGTTTTGCAGCGACATTTTACACATTGAGGATGCGCATCCCAATCGGTCCAGTTGGTCAGATTAGCTGAAATAGGGCGCGACTCTAGTTTTCTAGCTTTCTCGGGCTTGCGCTATCCATCAGCGCTCTCTGGGAATTCTTAACCTACCTAATGGACACCGGGCACGTAGTCAATCCGAATGAGTCGTTTCATGCCATTTGCCATGTACCCAATAGGCTGTCAGTATCGATCAAGTGGGGTAGCTTGACTGCAGCCGAAGCAGTCGTAATAAGTCTGCGAAACCTGGTACTGTACGGTCAAAACGTTTCATACGAACGCGGAGTCTGCCTTGGTCATACGACACGGATCAACCGAACAAGTCACTCCAAACTGTCTCGCAGTATCCTACTGGATGTCACGAGCGGGTACACAACCAATCGTTCGTGTCCCCATGCTTTTCATTTCACTGACCAATCTTCGCCGCGTATTTAACTTTTCACTCCTATTTTAACCACTAAAAATGTACTGGCCTGATGACCAGATCCAGAAAACATTAATGCTTGTCACGGTGTTATTGTTCAAAACATTGGGATATTTAAGCATTTCTTAACCTCTGCATTATTCTGTGTTTGAAGGATCTGCGTATGCCACTATATTATTTGTTGCTGGTATAATTTTCCTACTATCAGACGAGAGATCCTATGCTCAACATGGTGTGCGAACGACCTCAAGTAGACGGTTTTGAAAGTCGCCCCCATAGAATCGTTCGACTATTCCCGGTTGTCACCATTATTCCAAAAGTGTCCATCGAGCTCTGGAAGTTCAGAAGCCAACTCAATTCGATGTATTTAGGCTACAGAGATGCTTTGAAGGTGATGAACTGGATGGCCTTGAGTCAAATGGCGAAGTTAGGGTACCCAAAACGAACGACAGTCTTTTGCCAAAGATCTCCGTCGTTAGCTGATTGCTATATAGTCCAAACAGACCGAGGTGGTTTGTAGTTGGCGGCCATCGAGTAAGTCGATGCTGAAAATATAGTGGCCAGGATCAAATGATACTCGGCAATAACCGAAGTAAAATCTCAGTACCTGCTCGGTACCACTCGCGCGTCACAGATACCACAAGAAGCAGCACATCGGAAGAATAAAGTACAAGAGATCTGGATTCTTTGCCTGCTGTTTGAGGTGTATAGCCGAATTGTGGTCTTACAGGTGAAAGACGTGTAGATTGGGGTCGAAGAAAGGAGTTTGATTGAGGTAGCCCATCTCGAGCCTTTGACTCAAAAGTCTGAGACACTACGAGAAGGTTGGAGTGTGGACCTCGAGGCAGCGAAACTTCGCGCAGCAAAACACTCAGTAATCTGGCCAAAGTAGCTGCATAGGGCTGATCAAGGAGCACAAGCAGTAAGCATTTGATTCCTAATGCGATTGTGCGAGCGGGTGATATAAGAACAGCTCCAAACTCTGCGGTTTTGAAAGCCGACCGTACTGAATAAGTTGCCGAAGTTTTTAGGGTAAACCTTTTCTAACTCATCCTTCCCCGTGGGAACGTAGCATCCGTGCTCCTATAAAGTGGACGTGCTGGTCACCAAAAGGAACCAACTACCTTCACACTCCTATAGCAGAGGACAGTACGAATTTAACTCCAGGTCGCCTCTTTATACGATTTCTTGAAGTAGAGGGGCCAGCTGTTCTTTCACGTGCCGCACCTCGTTGATCTTTTTGGCATGGTTAAAGTTAAAGGGATTTTCAGCCGCCAAACCCGCAAAATCATTGCAGCATTGAATAGTGACCACCACCACAATGTGGCAGCTATTCCGTCAGACCAACAATTTTTCATAAAATTGAAGTGCTACATATCATTCATTGGCAGGCTGCATACTCGAATATTCGACTACTAACGTAAGTCTGCCAGAAGGACACGTACAGAACCGTCCATAGATAGATGAACAGTTAATAGATTAAAGGATAGCCTACAGAAAAGCGAATCAAGACAGATCGGTCGGACTATAGATCGATTCACCTCTAGTCCATTCACCCCAAATTCAGTGCTGAAAACTGCGTATTGACTAAAACATCAGCTTAGCTCGCTACTACCCTATACCCAAATTAAACACAACCATCCGTTTATGTAGACTAGTGGAGAGGAGAAAGAAGTCCTCGGTGCAAGTGTAAGTAGGCACACCCAAGTAGTATATCGAGCAGTAAAACAGCAAAAGACAGTGAATTCTGAGAATAATCCCGAACTGTTCTGATCATTTAGTGCTGCTTATGGCTGGTTCATGGGCTTTCCGACTGAGCCACTTCTTCTCAAGTGACCTAGACTTACAAAAAACTTTCGCGTTCAGAGCAGCTTACAGATAACCTCATTCAAAAAGAGGTTCAAAGGTGATGACAGACACTCGTCAGCGGGAGCGAAACACTGCACTGTAGGAACAACAAGCAACTGTCATCCTTTTGGATATTTTCACAAATAGAGGAATACTGAGTAAGGAGGCGAAAAGGAGACTTAGATGTTCAGTTACCTTCAGTACAGTCAAACACTACCGAAAAACTAGGGAAGCAACCATGACAACAGTAGTTCGCTCACTCACCTCACTTGGTTCTGGTGTTCCAAAAACGCTATGCGAATGAACTTGAAAATACCAGGTGTGAACAGATATATTCCACAATTGATTGTTGTGCTAACAAATGTAGCCGGTTTTTCCGCATAGTGTAGAACCTGAACAGAGTTAGTAAACGCAAAACTCGCGTTGAAATCAGAAAATTATAGAACCGACAATTTACTGAGAACATGTAATAAAGAATATTTGGAACAAAGGGACTTGTCTAACACAAATCGCATCTTTAAGAGACTTGAATTGGGGAGTAGCAACGCCGAGTAGAACGCCGCGGATGAGGAATTAGGAATGTATTTAAGAGGATTCAACGAATTATCCGGCAAGTCCACGTTGGTACAAAATGCATGAGGCCAGGTATTAGCAGTCATACCAAGGTGCTTCTACAGTACTTACCCTAACTGTCATTAAAAAGGAATACTTATCTGGTTGCGATGGGCTGCAAAACCGTTGGGTGGGATCTGAAGCCGCAAGCAGCTGCAACGACCAATACACTTAACTCTCACGTGATTGATCAAACGACTGAGCCACTTACCGCTCGAGCACCGTGGCGAGCTGCGATTGGCCATACTCCAGTTAAAGGACTCTTCACAGGGAGCATGCCTAATTAGTGTTATTCGAAAGCCGAAGAGATATATCTTACAGGCCAGATGTTACAGATTATGCGTAACGTTTGGCCGTGTTTTGAGATGTCAAAAAAGAAAAGGTGGTGTCAAAGCGAATGCTCGATTGAATACAAGCATTCCTATTAGTGAATGTCGGCATAAAGGTGAAACTAATTTTGTAGATGTATATCCCTTTTTCGATAAGAATCGATGAGTGACAGGTACTGGCCGCGGTTCAAGAAACATCCCGCTTTGACTATATACATCCAACACGATACTTTGTTAGCCATTCCAAAAGCAGACTGGGTGAACCCTTGCGCAGATGAAACACAACCCGAAAAGCTTACCTCATGCGTCTCTGGATTCTCCACAATGCAACCGAATTTCATTGACTGTTCACGTGTGGCCTATCAAAAGGGCGGACAAAAATGGTCAGAGTAAGTGGAGTGGTCTCAATGCACCAGAGATAAAACTACCGTCTAGTAAACGTCGCACGAGGCTCGACACCTGTAAACTAAGCCCGCAGGGCGGTTTCGACAATGCGTAAACAAAGAACGGAATCGTTTACTTCCTAAATATAGACAAGAAAAACAAAATAGGACAGACCATAACAGGCATGCTGAGAAATCGATGAACCTATGACGAAATCCGGATGCCGTGTAACTATTAAAATTTTGGTAATGCTGTCAAATCACCAGAAACCCGAGTTCAGGGAAGCACTCCTTAACAGCATCGTGGTTGGCAGGAGGGAATTCATGACTATTCACATGCCCATATTACAGGAGTTATCTACAATGCCCTTCGGCAAGGAAGTACCATTTATATACGCTACTGATGACGACGATTCTATCCACTGTTCCTAGATGACTAATGACCCCGACATAAGGGAACCAACACGCCGCTCCCAGAAGCTGTGGAAAACCAACCCTGAAATGAGTATTGAACTGATTATCTTACACACTGGATAGCAAACCAGGTTTATTTAGAACCGTTCCAAGGTTCGGTGTAGTTAAATCGTGCTTTGTGCTTCCTGATTCATATGAAGGTGGATACTAACCTCCAACATACTTCACTGGGCTCAAATCGAGCTGACCGGGCAGCATTGTGATGATTACGGTAGTCCATAGCGTCCGGGCATAAATGGATCGGAAGGCAAGGTAAGGTCCCGACTGAAACGTAGAACTGCGTGTATTGTACTGTTGACCGATTCACCAACTCCATACTCTGGATTGACCATATAGAAAAATGCTACTCAAATTCAACGCTACTCGCTTAATTCACGAGACATACAAGCTCCACAGGTAGGAAAAATACTATGCTTATCACAGACAATGACACTACCAGTGTAACGGCGGATACTGCTGATGAGACATGCGAGTAGTACGTGGTTTTCTCGTAACTTCGTCTCGCGTCTAGTTGAAGGTGGGGTTTATAACAAGACTTGTGGAACCGCTTTGCGGCGTCCGTTTACAATTGACAGTCAGTGAATATCCACGAATGTTCAAGAAGACGATTGAGTGTTCAGTTTTTAAAAACAAGGTGCAATAGTTTGTTACTATTTAGTTGATGTTTGCTAATAGACGACTTCGTGGCGAAGGGTTTTCCTCTTTACACCAATATCTAGTGCTCAGTCATCACAGTAATCACAGATGAGGACTAAACAATAGAAAGTGGGGTAAATGGGAACTGTTTGAGTTGGAGGAAATTTTCCGAATGGGAGTGCTATCAACCACTAGGGGATAATTCTTCGACAGTGTTGGCGCTCATGAGGTTATATCATCCCTGAGGTAAGAGGAGGTCCTACAAAATGGACGAGGAAAGGAGGTCAGAGCAGTCGAGAGATTGGGGAGGGTAAGTCGGGTGGCTATTCCGCTCATCAAAATGCTGACTTGGGTCAACATATGATCAGTCCATGCAGACCATTACTACACTATCGTCCACTGCGTAAAACATGACCCGTGTGGATCCCGGTATACTTTAATGAATCTGCTGACTTCAGCGCGTGCATGGAGGCCAAGATGAAACAAGGGTGTCCATTATAAACGAGTTTGTGCAGATATCTCATGAAGTACTGTTGCGCGCACGGCAATGCTACCAAGATTGCTGCTCGTTCGCTGCAGAGGTCCAGTCCTAAGCTTCGATATCCCTTGAGTCAGCTGGTGAAATTATCAAATGACCGAATTCAGAAATAGCGCGATTCAAAGATTGTGATATTTTACACGATATTGACCATTATTTCAAGAAAACGTCAAGCGGGATGTTGTTCTCGTCTTGAAAAATGCGACTACCCAGCTTACAACTCCAAGCCTATCAAGCCGAGTGTACGGCGTTTTACTCAAACGATCAGGAGCTCATAGCATGCGTTACGAATGGCTCAATGAAAACAAAATATCAGCAGCAGTTGAGTCCTGTAGCAGTGTACTTTTCTTCCGGACTTTGTGCTGGAATTAAGGGTCATGATCATAGATCCTCCCCTCGCATGTACACCATTTCCGTGCGCACTGAAAACTGATAAGAACCAATTGAGACTCACCAACCACAGCTCTGAATGCCACTTATGAAAAGTTTCTGGTCAATTAAGGGAGGTGCAGACTAAAATCTAGGAGCTATGTCAGCTTGATGAGCACCAGACAGTTTGAAATTGTTCGTATGTTGCTGGCAAATTTCGACCAATCATTTCACGCTAAACTTGGTAAGTTCCGTTCGGCAGAAATAGACGCTTATCATCACAAAAAAACATAACTGTAACTCAACGCAAACCATATCAAACGAATAGTGTTCTGCAAAGGAAGCGAGGACATGTGTTCCTAAACGATCCAGCATGGGAACTACTGGTGTATCTTGCACTCAAAAGTCTTCATACTGGGAGGCAGCGGTGACTGGCAAAAGGTGTTCCAAGCCACAACCATCAGAAAGAGAAACTATCAGTTGGGTTGTCGGGGACGTGGACTGACAGGAGGAAGCTTTGGTAAATGCATTCTACGTTGTCACCACACAGAGGTAAGTCTCAACACACACACCCAGTAGTGGCAGTCTCTATTTGTCACAATAGCTGGATTTGGTACAGAAGTTTTGATGGTAGATAAATTCGCATGAAAATAAAAGAAACAAGTCTGAAGGTAGAATCATGCCAATGGGGTGATCTTTTGGTGATTAGACAAATTCCGTAGCCCTCGGATTCGATACATGGTCGATAAGTTGTCCTTCTTCGTGGGTGGGCTGGTTCAATCAGTCAAATTGCATTTATCGCCCGTGTAGACAAGGTGTACTGGTAACCGATCAGATGGTCACGTAAACCTGTACAAAGATTCGGTTGGTAAATGCTTTAACACTTTCGACTTCGGTGAAAGAATCACCTGACTTTCGTGAGTGGAACAGTAGCCCGCAGTTTTCAAAAAAGAAGGAACGAAAAGAGAAATGCCAAAACAAAATTACACCAGTTACCTCGGTCACCATGATAACAAAACGATCTCCTGAACCTAGAGTTTTGTGGAATTCCAGCATTTCCTCCAGCGGGAGATCACAACAAATATCGCCATTCATGACGAACAGCAAATCCGGTGAACCAGAGAGTAGTTGATCACGGAACTGGTAAATTCCACCAGCTGTGCCAAGGGCAGTGAACTCCTGGAGGTATCTAAATCGGATAAGGTATGCATTTGAAATACGGTGAAACGACGCAACAAAGGCCAAGGAGACAAAACACTTGGGGATAGGAGGCTGGACACATAAAAGCAGCGAATGTTTGTAAAAGCACACAGAAAAAACACTGAAAGCCACACATCACGAAAAACCCGCAGATTAGATATGTTCCAAGCGTGGTTAGGTAAAATAGGCAATAAAGACACCTAATAATATAATCTAAATAATATATTTGTAAGGAAAAACCAGCATGGAGAGCATATTAGCATACTAACAGGGACAGAAATGCGTTAAAATTCACGCCAAAAGGAGAGAAAATTACCGTCACGTATGGGCTTTTGAGCACGCGGTAAACACAGCTCGATGTACCGCCGTATTTGCTGCGAGTTTAACCTGCAGAATAAATCAGTTGGCGGGGTATATTAGACAATTCCCGCTCGGAAGCAGAAATCACTCTTCATAATTTTCTCGCTTTCGCTCTAGTCGAATGTTTTGAAAACTTACTGAAAGTTGGAGAAACAGCGAACGAATGAGATGTGTTCGAACGGTACAACGGCCCTGAGAATGCCAAGACAAGTCACTCATTCGGTGTTCAGGTGCACGTGAAGTAAGTCTACTTAGTTACCAATTGTGAACATATCTGGGCGACGAGCATCCCACACTTCTGTCCGGCCGAAGGAGTCTAAATATGGTGGTTACTGGGATTCAAGCAACAAAACGACTAGTGGGTGCTGCAACCTGGATAATCTTTCAGTCGCCTATGAAGGAAAAATGCCTATATGGGCTATTTTGCAGGCGTGCAGATGGCTACGGCTCGAGGTCAAAATTGACCTGGACTCAATGTGAGCGTCCACTCAAAATGTGGAACCCAGTCTGTCAGTCGACTAAATATGTTGGCAATTTATGGAGACCGAAATGTGGTTGTTTGAGACATGAAATTTCACAATACAAACTGATGCCTAGCAACACGTAAAAGTGGCTACAAACAAGTGGTGGCAGTGTGCATTGTTCCAGTGGTTAACAACTCAGATAGATAGCTTGTCTCTTTCACAACTATCCGTCACCTCGCGTATTCGTCCATCCTCACCACTTGGAGTTGCATCAAAAGGCATTCCGCTATTTAAACAACACTGGTTTGACTAAGCTGAAATTCAATTCATATGGCAATACTTTTGGACTAAACGCACTTTAAAATCTAGGTTATACTTACCATATCACCGTTATTCCCCTTATAAGAGTGAGGTTGCAACCTAATACACAACCTTCAAAATGAAGTCAATTTATCGTTTCAGAAGGGCTCGGTAAAAAAATCGGTAGTTTTTACCAAGCCCTTCTGAAACGATGACTTCTCCATCGGTTCCAAACTTTTCCCAATTGAAGTCGATTTAATTCAGCAGCAGCATCCGTGCCTACCAAAGATACAACTGCTTTGCAAAAGTGCAATTATCTACCCATCATTCGTCCCAATATTAAGTGATTTGCCGATAATCAGTAAACAGGCATGGACAACATAAGCAAGGACGGTTAAAAGTATTTAGTAGAAGGTTCTGGAATGGTTGTTACCGAGGACTTCATTTAGGCAGTCAAGTTATCACAGTCGATAAACATGGTTTTTCCAAACTCCTGATAATCGCACTCATGTGCTCAAGGAAAGGGAGCCCAGAGAAATGCTGGGAGAACACCGGTCCAGAGATATAAGCCGAAAACAATACGTCAACCTTGTTGCGTGTAGGTTATGGATGAGAAAAACCCTAGCCTACACTAACACTAATTATCAGTCTTGAAAACATATGGTATTTTCTACTGACCAAGGCGCTTATGCCATTCTCACTGATATAGAGATTACCGGAAATCTAACGATACTTATGAAGGCACTTAATTATCTGAGGAAAACCCTATATTTTAGCTGCGACTTGACTGAGTACCTACCGTGATATTCCTTCAATATTTGCCTATGCAGTCAAAGTTTATAGCACTAGCAAATTTTGAAATCGGTCAAAAGGAATTCCTCCATTTCCCTGGTAAAATTCGCATGGCCGACCAAATAAACGCTGTCTTCTGATAATGCTTACAGGTGCATTGATGACTCACGTCAATTGGAAGACTGCATGGAATTTTTAACAGCACTTTATGAAATCCCAGTTAGCTCGGAAAACTCTAAACATGCGTCAGAAAAAATAGCCACTTCTCACCGGGGTCTTTATCAATGTATAAAGACCGAGAGTCGGGTAACGATCGCCCTATCGATTCTAGTAACCATGTAATGCTCATCCCTCGTTGAACAGTTATCTGTTCCGGTAAGCTGATTTCACTCTAGACAAACTGTTGTCAACCTGTGCGAGAGCGACTCCAAATTTCCCATAGTAATATTCAGATACGGTTGGTTGAGATAGATGAGGTGAGATAGAGGTTGAGGCGAAATCCACAGCTGCACCAAGTGCAAATGCACTCAGGAAAGTGTACGGCGCCCTATTAAATATCGCACTTAAAAGTCAAGTATTCAGGCTCCACTGATATCACGTCACTCTGGTAGCCTTGTAATGCTCAAAGCTTCTAACGGTCAAGAGAAATCATTCAAGTCGAATGCACGGAAGTGCCCCCAGAGGAATTCAGATACTCGAGGTAGCAAACAAAAACGTCTCTCCATCACGTCACAGGAAACATCCTGTAAAAATACCACGCAAAAGAACATCCTAGCACAATTTGAGCCAAGAACACTTCCTTCTCAAGAAGCTGTGATCATTCTGACGGTGAACTGAAGCCACTTCAAGTTTCCCAGCAGCCACTTTATCGCCTCTCGAGATAAAATCAAGGTGTCCTGCAGGATGAGGAAATCTCGCGCGCATGAGACATCGTACGTCTTTTTTGCACGTTCGAAGATTCTCACTCAGTTATTGGTACACCCAATGGACCCATTCCACAGACATCGACGCTTCTTAAACTTACACTTCAATGCACGACTGACCCCGCTCAACTCGCCTGATCTATCTATGATTATGCGTGCGTGTGTGTGTCACGTTGGCAGAAAGCGACAGCGGACTCTCAATGTCATACTACGGTGTGATCAGAGCCCTCGTACAAACGGGGGTAGATGGTCGAGAAGCACGTGCGACTCGACGAGCAAGCGAGTCAAGCAGTCTCGCCTATCAAACTTGAATCAACACGAATGCTCGATCGATAGGTTTTTAAGTGGCTGGCTATTAGTGACAAGGCCAGAAACAACGAGTCGAACGGTATGGCAGTTAACAGGGTTGACTTGGCTTATTGGAGCCCAATTATGTCATGTTTTGCTGAAGTGATCAACCTCACTTAAGTAGTGATCTAAGAAATTCGCGGAAGCATCAAATGAAGCATGTTGTTTGGCTGTGGATATTGGTTTTGAAATAATTCCACGCAGCTTAACTTCCAGACATATTTTGGTATACTGCGCTGCTGCGCACCAACACTGAAGACAAGAGGCATGCAAATTAGTATATTCTCTCATTGAAGCACCTACCTGTTAGTTTCTATTCAGGCAGCTCACGTTTCAAACAAGTTTAAAGGTTTGGGTAAGCCTACATCTGCTGCGATGCGTTATTTACTGCCTGCAGCTTGCACACAACTGACCAATTGTTGGAACTGACAGTATCTGTAAAGCCGGCAAAAGAAAATGAATACGAAAGTGTACCTTCAAGGTGAGGTAAAATATTCGCTCTGCAACCCATTTTGAACAATGGCGTATTGTGGTTTTGCAAACGGCTTCTACAAAACGGAGTTCCCAAGCCAACAGTTTGTCACCTCAGTATAACCTATAACAATTACGGGTGGGTTGGACGATGTGGAGTTACACATTACAAGGGCAAACTGAACGCGACAGACCAGACAGTGCTTGCGAGTGGGCAGCAATTTGGACGACCGGCGAATCCGATCGAAACACAACGAACAACCCATCGCTACGCACCACTACGCTTCCTACCAACGCAGTGATGATGTAACCTCGGTTGGTGATGAAAAGTTTGCATGTTTCACGCACGCGAGATTTCCTCATCCTGCAGGACACCTTGATTTCATCTCGAGAGGCGATAAAATGACTATTGAGACACTTTCGGAGTGGCTTCATTCCACTGTCAAATTAATCGCGGATCATATCTAAACTAATCATCAGACGGCTATATGCGATTTAGAGAGGCTGTGAAGTGGCGGGTGTACAAACCTCGAGCTTTCTCGTTTCATCAAGGGATCAAGTGACTCACAGCTTCAAATTCCCTGTGTTCTGATCATGGATGATATTTTTCACATGCATAAGGAAATGGACATAGCTTCTCTTGCGAAAAGCTGCGTCCAGGTGCATGAAGCTGCACGGGACGCTGTGGATACACGGTGGAATTTTCTTCTGTCTGATAGTTAAATGAGACTAGACCGAAACTTATGCGACAAGTTTCCCCCGTACGCTGAGGTTGGACAAGCAGGTTCTTGCAAGATTCGCGTCGACTGTACATAGTTGGAGCAGTATATATAAGTGATAGACCTGCTGAATCTTCTCGCCCGACAAAACAAGGTAACAGGCGTACATGAACACAGTTCGACGACTAAACCAGAGTGCCACTCCAATACCTGTTCCAGACATCAATCGATAGCAAGGTTACTGAACATTATTCACAACCGTCGTACGCTAGGCATGGCGTTGAGCTTGATTGTGTTCTTCGTAATATAAGGAGACAGGGGATTCTGCTTAAGATCATTCAACATTAATAAAATTTAAGAACGTCGCGGAAGCACGACTAAAGGTATTGCCTGCGGCGCTTCGCGAACACTCGAACCAAATGCGGCTCGGAAGTTAACGAAAAGTGCTGCGGCAGTCTATCAGAATCCAAGTTAATGTTCTTATCTCCGTTGTGTAAATATCTCGTCGAATGACGGAAGCCTCTGTGGTTCGTCCTCGCACATTTGTCTCTTGCTTTGGGAAAACACTGATGAAGGGAAGCCACTACATAATAAGACTGACAATGTCATGAT